TCAAGGAAAACACTGATCTATGTTATTACTATGTTATAACAGAACTGGAATATAGAATTTATTACTAAGAATTTAGTAACAGGCAAGTACTGTAAGATGAATTTGCTATTGAGCATTGAAAAGGATTAAAAAGAAATGCTTTCAAATTATTTTTGAAAAAACTTAGGCTAAACCTTATTTTAAGATGTTCTTGTTACTGTGTAACTATTAATTTAAATATTTATTAATTACATGTATTAATATGGTTTGAATGCAGGTTAGGTTTAGGGTTAGTTGCATGCAATTATGCATAATTATTTGCAATTACTATAGTAAACACACACCTTAAAACAAAGTGTTACCAACAATTTTTTAATGTAAGGTTTTCTCACACTTCCAAGTTTATAAACAACAGTTCGGACAATTTTGCCTCACGACTTATATCTAAAACCTGTTTATTTCTCTCACTTTGGAGATTTTGCCTCAAAATTCTGACTTTTTTTCAACCAGACTACTAATATATCTTCTGATTTGTGAATAAAAGTCAGAAATGTGATATAAAAGTTACAAATCAGTTACTTTTTGTATATGCCTGTATATCTTGTAGCAAACACCATATCCATATGTATATATAACATAAGTGCTACCGACAGTTTTCTTAATGAAATGTTCTTCTCCCATTTCAAGTTTCCTCTTATAAATTATCTCTAAAACCAGGAGTGGACTTGACCAATAAGCGAGGTAAGCAGCTGCTTAGGGCCCCAGGGAATTTGGGGGTTACAACCAATGCCAAGAAGCCAACATTAATAAGCTCTTTTACAACTCATATGTTGTCAAATCTGTCTATAACCATTAGGATATTAACATTATTACTTTTCAAAATCAGAGGCCCCCATAAATAGTGGACCGCTCCTTCTGTACTGCACATGTGCAAGTCGTGAGTAGTTCAAAGACACTCTCAGTCTGCCAGCGATCAGAGTAGAGCTGAGGTAGAGGCAGGTGGAGTGTGCAACAGAGAGAATTTCGAGAAAATTTAAGAAAAAAAGAGAAGAAATGGCTGGGCAATTTATGGCAAAAATACAATCTCTGTAATTATTTTCCATATTGAACGATAACTATATATATTTTACTATGAGTTGTTAATGCTTATGATTTAAATGTGTACATTAACAAAGACTGAAGCCACAAAAATTAGAGGGTCAATTAAATGCCATATTTTCGACATTTACATTTTTCTTTGGTCGCTAATATCGACACACTTTTAGATTCCCATTGTTGCACATTTCTGCAGTGTGACTGTCTCTAAGATCAATATAGAGTATAAAAAAAAGTCAAGAGCTTATCATCGTTATTGACATACATTTTATCACGATTCGATATACTATTGTCAATCGGCCCAGCCCTAAGACAAACAATGAAACGCAGCTACCTCCTGATCCTGCTTTCTGGCCGAAATACCTTTCAAATGATGAGCACTGTGAGCTTGTTAAGAGAGGGTCTGTTCAAATAAAATAACATTTCCCAGTAAATGTTAAAAGCTGTCAGTTCACAAACAGCAATCATTCAGTTCACATGAAAATAGTGACAAGATTAGTTTGATTAATAGTGAACTAAATTTGTCTAAATGTTTGATCACACTTTATTTTGATGGTCCATTAAGTTACATTGCATCTACAAGCCAACTAATTCTCATTAGATTATAAGTAGAATGTTAGGTTGGGGTTAGGGTTAGCGTAAGTTGACATGTATGTGCAAAGTTTCTAATAGTCAGTGTGTAAATGTCTGTTGAAGGAGCAGCATCAGCAGATATTAAGCAGACAGTCTACTAATACTCAAATAGACCATCAAAATAAAGTGTTACCAAAGGTTTACTTTATTTATATTAAAAAAAACTAATCACAAAAATGGTTAATTAACTGTTCATAGTTTGCTAATTTGTTTTTAGAATTTTGTAAATTAATTTCATTTAGTTTTACTTTAAGAAGATAACATAATAATGTTTCTTTGAATATTAAAATATGTAAAATATACCTTAAATATGTTTAATATATTTATGTAAAAACTTTTTAACATACAGTTTATTTACAAAAAAAACAAACAAAACTAATCTACTAATGCTAGGGCCTCATAGCTGGAATTGTTAAGGGCCCGTAAATCACTAAGTCCGCCCCTGTCTAACACCTGTGAGTTTATCTCTCTTGCTTTAGAAGTTTAACCTCACAATTCTGACATATTTTTTTTCCATACATAATCTGAATTGTAAATAAAAGTCAGAATTGTGATATAAAAGTTACAAATCAGGCGTCACGGTGGTGCAGTGGCTAGCACAATGGCCTCACAGCAAGAAGGTCCGAGGTCAGTTGTTTGCATGTTCTTCCCATGTGTGGGTTTCCTCCGGGTGTTCCGGTTTCCCCCACAAATCCAAAGACATGCGCTATAGGTGTATTGGGTAAGCTTAATTGTCTGTAGTGCAAGTGTGTGAATGAGAGTGTATGTGTGTTTCCCAGTGATGGGTTGCAGCTGGAAGGGCATCCGCTGCTTGAAACGTGCTGGATAAGTTGGCGGTTCATCTCGCTGTGGCGACCCCAGATTAATAAAGGGACTAAGCCGAAAATAAGGTACAAATCAGCAACTTTTTGTATACGCCTTATACCCTGTGGCAAACACAATATCCATACAGTATGTGGCCTACCACAAATAGAGGACTAAAATCCCCCAAATTAGGGACCTGTATCAATATCCCTAGTCCTCTGTCTCTCTTCTCGAATGTCAGAGTGATTGACTGCTGTGCTGTTTGAGAGCAGGATTACAGAACGCAAGGCATCTGCTGCAGAAAGAAGATCGATCACAGTTTTTTCCTCTAGTCAGCCATTCAGACATTGATGTAACCATGAAAACACTGCATATGCATATAATGAATTTATATAATCACTGATTAGAGTCAAAGCAATACTATCAAATCATGCACAATCCAACATCTGAATTCATATGCTTTTTCCGGCTCTTTCCACCACCCACTGAGCATCTGAGCTAAATAGGTTGATTCAAAACCCTGTCACAAAAACATCAACACTATACACACACACACACACACACACAAATGCATGCAACACAACACAAGTGATACTTACCGTGCTGCTTCCCTGCGGCGTGTACATGCTTCTGACATGCTTTCCTTCCTCATTTCTTGCTCTGGCAACTTCCCAAGTGCATCTAGAGCTGCTGCTGCTGCTGCTGGAGCCACATTTACTGTGGTGTCACACACACATCTGCAGTGCAGGAATTAGATCTAGTGCTTCACACACAAACACACACACTCTCTCTCATGCACACACTGCCCTCTTTCTCTCTCCATCTCCATCTAGCCAAGGTCAGAGGAAGGAGCTACCAGGCACATGCTGACTCCTCCTTTACACACACACGATTTAAAACAAGTAACATTGTCTTTTAGCACACACACATACACACATTAGATGATTGGCATATTCCAGATTCATTATTCAGCATTGCGGTGGATCTGCTGGTGGTTAATGGTGGAGTGTTATTGAAAGCAGCCCTTAATCTAATCTGATTTCCCCCGGCACGGAGACTTCTTAACGGGATTAAAGAGCGTTCGTGAAGGGAGGGTGGGGGAATGACGGAGACTTCTTACCTTAAACTGTAACACTTCTGAATACTTAAGCTTTGCACCTGCTGAGTACAAAATAAGTGTAATGTCTCCCTCGTGTGGTTGTTGTTGAGTTTTGGATTTTAACATCATATTTATTGAAAGAAAACGTTTAGTCGTTGGTATGCTAACTGAGGGCTATCCCCGAATAAACTACTCTGTTTATGATATTATGGAAGATAATGCTCGCTTATTTGTTTGTTTGTGAATGAAAGAGTTAGTAAAACTCCACATAACAAAACGTAACTGTAATATAAACACAACACTGAAGAAAACATGACGACGTTGAGAAAAAAAAAAACTTGTCGCGGGTTGCTAACGTTGCTAGCTGTCGAGTTCGTTTCGTTAATATTAAATGAACAGTTCAGCCAAAACTGAAAAATCATATCATCATTAATGAGTAAATTTACTCACATTTTAACTCACTTGTTCCAAACCAGAGTTTCTTTTCTCTGTTTAACACAAAAGAAGAATTTTTGAAGAAAGCTGGAAACCTGAACCCATAGACTTCCATTGTATAAATTTGTCCTACTATGGAAATGAATGGTTCAAGTATTTTAGCTTTCTTCAAAATATCTCAAATTGAAGACGTTTCTAACGTTTGGAACCAGAAATAGTAAGTAAAGTTTCACTTTTGGGTGAACTATCATTTTAATTAAAAACATTTAGAAAAAAGATGAATAATATTTAATCTTATTATTAAATATTTAAATTCGGCTGAAATAAAAACAAGCAAATCAAAAAGAAAACACCGACAAACAACCCCCTGCTGAAGTAGGCTACTTGTACTTTGTGCAGAAACCTTACACTACTCATTATTATGGTACTATATGCCTATTACTGTTGTAACCAAATGCCAATATATTACAGTATTTTCAACCCTTTGTTAATGAATGTTACAGCATTAACTTAGTGATGAACTGTAAAAAAATCTCGAAGTATAGTTTTTTTACAACAGTAAACTATGGTGTATTGTAGCGTATTGTAGCATATACACACTATACTTTTAGAAAACTACAGTATTGGGTTTGTTTATATTACCATTAGTGTTACCACATCAACTACAGAATTACTACTACTGATTAATTCAAGTATATTACTATAATATGGTTCAGAAACACTATTTAATATATATTTCTATAGTATTTTTTCCTGTAGCTATAGAACAATTTACAAAAAAATATATTGACTTTGTAAACAGTTTTAAAAAGTTGCCTACAAAGATTTATCAAATAAATGCTAACTAATGAGATTGTGTCCTCTTCTAATACTAGTCTCCCACTATCTAGCCATATCTTGGTTTTGGTGAGCTTTGCGATGTCATTGCAAGAAGAAATATGTCAACACTGGAACAAAGATTTGACAATATATATATTCTTTAATTGTTATAAATAATGAAGAACGTATCACAGGCAGCATTGAAATTCTTTAAAAAATGGATCCAGCTTTAATATGAGTTCATGTTTTGTTAGAAAAGTGCAATTGTCCTTCATCTCTGTTTGGTGAACTTCAGGCATCTTGCTGAAATGGAGGAAGAAAGCAAAACACAAAGTTGTGAAACTCTAGGAAAGAAAACTATTTAGTTTGACAGATTAAAAAATTATTCATACCTCTGGCAAATTCTGACTTGAAGTTACTTTTAATCAACCAGCAGGTTTTTTTTTTTAATGACACAGGTTTCTCCCAAAAGATAATAAGACGATGTACAAGAGGCACAATTTTGAGTAAAAATTATCAGCTTTTGTTTACATTTGACAACTTTAAGTCAGAATTTTCCTGAATAATTTTAGGCTTGACTGCATAGTAGGTAGATGTTTACCAATAATGCTCGTCCTCTGGTCTCAATGGGCAGGAAAAAAACTCCTATGGCACAAATGATGCACGCTGTGGCGAACGGTGATAAAGCCAGAATCACAGATTTGGACATCAACACCTAGAACACGAAACATAACCTTAGAAGAAATCCGAATGTGTAACTGCTTTGCTGCCAATATTCAAAAACACATATTTATAATGTGCGATCCAAATGCAAAAATTAATTTATTTAAACCTTTAGAATATCTTTTAACAATGGCATCATCACTGCTTAAAATTATGAAAACGTTTATTTACATTTATTTTCAAGACACCATCACTTTAATGTAAATCGGGCCTATATGACATGTACGAGATATTGATTGAGAATATTCAGATCGTTTATAGGCCTATTGTTTGTTAATCCTTTAAATGAGGTAATTAAACTAAACTGACAATGAACACTTCTTGTCAAGCATTATTAATCATTGGTGATGTAATATTTAATGTTTAATAACTGACTTAAAAGAAATTGTAACTAATAAAGTTCATTGGTGTTTTTAAACTCTGTTTAACTAAATGACTTAAGTAAAATAATTGTGCTGTTCTTCATCGTTAATGTATTGTTAATGAGACCTTACTGTAAATTGATACCTATTGTATTAAAATATTTGTATTAGTTTACACTCAACATGCACAAACAAAGTCATACACAAAAACCTTCAGTTCTTTTAGTTATTATACCTCTTAAAAGGTATAATTCACACACAAAAATCTACTCACTATTTTCCCACCCCTACATGGATTCAAATCTTTATGAACACAAAAGAAGATACTTTGAAAAATGTTGAAAACTACTGGTAACCATCAGTCATCAATAGCAGAATAAACAAATACTAAGTCAATGGCTACTGGTTTCCAAAACCTTTCTAATCATCTTCTTGTGTTCAAAAATAGAAAAATAAAATCCAATTGTTTTGGAAGAAGTAAAGGTTGAGTAGTGTAAATGATCAGTTTTGGGTGACTATCCCTTTTAAGTAACCCTTATGCTATGATCATGATAATACTGCAGATCTTGAATAATAATGAAATAAAGTTTCAGCAATTATTGCAACCAATGATCTTTTACCTGCTTTTAATATACACTTTAATATAGAATATACCTTTCTCTAAGCATCTAAAACAGTTTAATTGAAATCTAAAAACTCTACAGGGTTCAAACACATTTTACAGCTAAAATTCCACAAATTTTAAGTAAACTTTTATGGCCTAATGTTTCATGTAATGTCTACGTGTATGTGGTAAATAATAAGAAAAGCAATGCACGTTCAAATTTAAGACAGCATATCATTAAGTATGCAACAATCTAATTAGATTAAATGTATTTTTGTAACTATGTAAAACTGATTTAAATAATGCTTACAAAGCACTAATGATGTGAGAGCATGTTTTCGGCCAAGGACAGAAAAGAAGTAAAGACAACTAAACTATCTATTCAAGAATGCAGATATTTGTTAAACTAAACTTTTTTAAAAAATGTGAGTTTTTTTTGGTTTTTCCAAAATCTTTGCCAGGGCTGCAAATTGCCATGTCAAAATTCCATGACTTTTCCATGATCGGATGAACCCTGGCTCTAAACATCTACAGAAGTCAAACACATAGAGAACCTGTGCAATAAAAGGTGCGATCATTCCTCCGATTCGACTGAACGATGTGCAAAAGCCCATTCCGATTGAGCGCACAGATGTAGGATAAACCTGCAAACACACACACGCAAATGATAAACAGTTTAAATTTGGTGGCAAACTCTTCTTTAAAGGCACAGAGATTGAATGGAGTGTTCATTTATCAGCTCTCACCTCTGCCGTGTAGATGTAAACCACATTAAAATTCATTGAAACCACAGAGCGGAGGAGGAAGAGCAGGATTGTGAAGCCTAACCTGCACACATTATTCACTTTATTAGCACTGCTAACATATGAACTGCGAGTAAAAGGCCATGTGGAAATTACATTAAACACCTAGACATAATAAACAGTGAGTATTTGTATTGTAAACAGTGAAAAGTGATATGTGTGGCATTTAAATTATTACTTTAGCAAGAATAGTAATAGCTGTAAATGTTATGTGAATGTAGGTAAAAGCTGATACTAATTATAAAGAATTATTAGCTGCATATACTTTATTAACACATAGTAGTAAATAAATATTGTGACCAGTGAAAATCTGTTGTTATTTTAATATTATTAATATTTCATTAGTAATACATATTTATAGTTATTATTAATACTTTCGTTTTTTTATATATTTTTTTTCGTGACCAATTTAATTAATAATTTAATCTTTATTTGTTTTAATATTTGTGTCCATATAGTTTATAATAAATTTTAGGTTTTACACAAATTCTAATTTTTTTAAATAATTTTTTATTATATTTTGTTTTTATTTCTTCTTCTAAATAAAATTGCCTTGCCTAAATTAAAAATAAATAATATTTTAACCATATTTTATTTTTAGAATTTCTTTAAAATATGAGAAATTACTTTTTTTAATTATTTGTTTTATTTTATAACAAATATTTAATATAATATATTTTTATTTAATTTCATTTATCATTTATTCATGTTATTTATTGCATTTATCATTATTACAATATTATTGGATTCATTAAGAGGTTTCTTTATTCAGTTATTTGTATTTTTAGTAATGTTATCTTTCTCATTTCACTTCAACTAATTAAACATTACATTTTCAGTTAAAGATAATTTTATTATTATTATTATTATTATTATTATTATTTATTTATTTATTTATATTTTTAGCTTTGTACCTAACAATAATAATTTCAAAAAGATTAAAAACAAAAAATACAGCATACTCATATCCAATGTTCGGGGTAATGCATTACAAGTAATGCGAGTTACGAAATAATATTATTTTTCTAATTGCATTACTTTAAAAAATTAAATACTATTTGAGTTACTTTTTAGCTGAATTAATTTACTTTTAAAAAATAAATTGCTGAATTAAAATTTGTGTAAACAAGTTGAATCACACTCAATGAGAGAATGAGCACCCCGAGGAAACAGGCAGAAACCAAGATGGCAGAGCCTTACATTTCTGTGATGGAAGTATTCTCGTTTTTTTTTTGAACACATGGAAGAAAAGAGGATAGTCTGAATGGACAATTTACTGAACTAACAAGGCAAAAAGTAACTTTCAATTGTCATTAATCTGTATATATGGCATGTATAGGGTCAGGAAGTTCTCAAAAGATAACATTATTCTAATCCTTTTTTTTAATTAGTTTTATTTTTAAGGTAAATGAAGATGTAGGTTATTAAGTGCATCATTAAATGCAGAGCTCCTCTGATAAAAAAAAAAGAAAAATACCCTGTTCTGAAAAGTTCTCAAGCTCTGAAAGCAATAAAGCCTAAGGCAGGTATAAAAAAGTAACTCAAAAGTATCGTAACACATTACTTTCCATAAAAAGTAACAAAGTAACACAACTAGTTACTTTTTTGGGGAGTAACTTAATATTTTAATGCATTACTTTCAAAAGTAACTATCCCCAACACTGCTCATATTCAAAATGACTTAAAATAATAATAATTTCAGTAATCAAGAAAGCAGCATACTCACATAGTCGTGCAAATATTAACAAGCATGAAGAAAAAGGCCGACAGCAGCAGCAGAATGACCATGCTGTACTTCCGTCCTACTATATTCAACAGGATGATATTAAGAGGAATGACTGCAGACAAAACACACAAACAAACATCAGCATTTAGCATTCAAACCAAGCAGAATAATTAAAGTGAGCAAGATTTCAAAGGTTACTGACGTGCCACCTCCCCTAAACAGCTAATGAGGAGCGTTTGGTAATCATCCGAGTTGAAGGGGATGCAGTAACACAGCATCTCCTCCTGGATGTGTTTAATCTGATGCTCCAGATCAGGATCCGTCACGCACAGAAGATTCTTCTCCAGTAACTCAGAGCTGCTCAGGACGGAGCCATAATAAGAAAACGAGGCCACAAACCTGACGGATGAACAATGCAGAACATCACACATGATCTGGCACACAGAAACACACACATAATAGACAAAAGAGGAGAAGTGTGGTAGACTTTACCATGAATACCACAGCAGGAGCGATGTTCTCCTGAAGGCCGAGCTGATCAGGGTGACGGCATTTCCTCTTTCTGTCTGGATATGAACACACTTCTGTCAGTTCAGGCTGTTTACACTCAAGGAAATGCTTTAAATAGCATGTGTGCAGCAATATTTAAAGTTCCAGTACACCTAAATATGAATATCCAAAGTTAATTATCAGCTCATTTAAATTTGTGTGTGAACTCACCCTTTTAAAGAGAATAAATGTTTATTTTTTCATTATTTTTCATTTATATTTTTGGATAAATGCTTAATTTCATATACAATGATTTCCAATATACTATTATATCAATAACACAGCATATAATATACACACACACTGACATAATATACACACACTTTAAAAATATTTTATCTGAGACGTATCATTGACTAATTAATTTGTTTTGATGGAAATATTCAGTTTTGGCTTTTAAACAGTTAATATTTTACCCGTTTATTTATTTATTTTAGGAGATTAATACTGGTTTGCTCCGATTTGATAATAATTTTTAGTTTGACTTTTTAGTTTTTAATATCCCTGCATCTTCAATATATAAAAGTGCACATATTACTCCAGAGAAGACGATTAATTATAATAAAATAGATAAATTTTTTACATTTTATTTGGGCATAGGGGGTGATTTTAAATGCTTGTAGAAAAATAATAAAAATAGAAATTTCAATACAAATACAAAACAATTACAGTTACACCTGAAATATGTGCGTTGGGTTCATTTAGTGTAAGTTTGTCATTACCAGGTTATCAAACTAAAATGACTGACATGTGTCTTGTTATTACAAGGTGTTTGATAGCAGTCTATTAGTAGAACATAGAAAGTCCATCCATTGACCACCGGCTGAAAGATTTGACACATTGCATTCCACTGGAAAGAATCGCCTACAGTATAAATGGAAAATTAAAGGAGTATCATAAAATTTGGGATCCGTTTATACCATTTTTGGAACAAAACCATACAATGGCACAAGCAAGTACCTCTCAGGCTACTGGTTAATTGACTAATATGTATATGTGTATTTTTGTATGTGGAATATATGTTTTTCTTTGCCTTAGCCCATGGATAACAATACATTTACCTGCTCAACTGAATTTGGAGGGAGGGGGAAAGAAAAAAAAAAACAAGTGTAATTTCATGTTAAATTTCAAGTGTTTTTTCTACAATATTTTTTTAATAAGTAAATAAAAAACAATGCTATTAGAGAACTTAATAAATAAATAAATAAATAAATAAATAACTGTGATTAAAATGAAATGATCAAATATGTGATTATAATATTTAAATTTTTTAAGCATAAATAAATAAAAATTAGATCAAAATTAATAATAATATTTAATTTGTAAAATAAATGTTAGTATCCAGAATAAACCAGAGTATGAACTGAGTCTTTATACAACAAACTATTTAGAGGACTTTTAACGCATAATATGAGGGTTCATCTAATAGACAAAACTTGGAGCTGTTTAGGTCTCTTCTCCTACACACCACTTCAGGTTCGCGTAGTTCTCCCTCTGGTAAAACACCATTATTCATTTTGGCGATCCGCTTAAGTGTAGACATGGCTCCTTGTATGTTACCTGCCGAGACCTGGAACCGTGCGGATTCGGGAATAAACTGGGAGAAAGAAAACATGCGAGTGAAAAAACAGCTTTCTTCATCAAGAATGTATGGTGTTTAGGATAAAACTAACCATGAAGAGTCCGATTAATACGAGGCTGGGGATGACGGAAAACCGAATCATCCATCGCCAGCCCATCGTGGGCACCACAGTCATACCCAGAACAATAATTAATATGGATCCCATCATCCAGAAGATCTGACAGACAATAAAAGTAAGGTTAATGCCTGACTTCTTTTTTTTATTTAGAGGTCAAATGTAACTTTTCTTATGCACTCACTGAGGCAAGAGGCAACAGGTATGCTCTGTATTTGGCAGGGATGAATTCAGTCTTCAAAACAAACCTTAAGAAAGAAAACATGAGACAGAACAGTACGTTTATTTCATACATAGTGGAAGAAAATCATTGAACTTACTAGACTTTTAAATGACGTTTAAAATGGAGACGGTTAAAATGTTATTTAAAAAAAATACTCTAAAAAAACTATTTGCTCCAAAACCTGCAAAATAGTATAATTATGAAATATTTGTTATTAAAGCATATATATATAAAACATTCGATGTTGATGTCAGCATTACATTAAACTCACAAAAGTGGCTTTAAATATAGTGCATAAGAAAAAAAGCTATTAAAAAAAGTCTTCTTTAAAAAGATTCAAGTTACTTTTGAGAGAAAAAAAGTTAAAATTTGTGTCATTCTGTGTAAAGATATTTATGAAAGAAAATAAACAACATACTTATTTTTAATTTATAGTTATTAAAATAGTTCAAAGAATATGTGATCAATTTAATTGTTTATATTTAAAACTTTTACTGAAAAATGGTTAAAACCTAGTGATTTACCGTTTAATACCAGAAAACCCATTGTCATCTTTGAAACATAAACATTTATAAATTTACAATCATTTATAAACTGTATGGAAAGCATGAGCAAAATACTGTGCATTTGCGAAATCCCACCCTTGAGATGTTGCTGCCACTCCGCAGCCCACCATACATCTCAGAAAGATGAACCAGCCGTATGATGTAGAGAACGAAGTGAGAAAAGAAAAATATGACGCCCATACAAAACCACCAAACACCACCTGTGGACACAAACATTTTAATTGGACACAACACATTTTATTGGATCTAATTACACTAAACATCACACTCAAAGATACATATATACAGGCGCACACCCCTCAAAAATCTCTCTTTTAAATTAACATTTACTATAGAAAGCTTTACAATATTATATTTTTGCAAATGCATTAAATTAGTCAGTACTGAAGCCAAATCTGGAGCTAATCTAACAGAATAACTTACAAAAACAGTTCAAAAATTTGTAGTAGCCCAAATCTTTCTTATGTAAAAATATTTACCTTTTTTTTTTAACCTTTTAATAAAAAGAAGAAAAACAAATCAAGAAAAACAAAAAAATATATAATTTTGTTGCCAATTTGTAGTTTATTTTGCAATATTTTGCATAAATTTAAATGTATTATCTTTTTATTTCTAAAGATGTTCCGCAACTAAAATATCCCTTTAATAATTATGTCAGTTTAATAAATCTGTTTTGTTTAAACACACCAAAATATATGATCTTCATTCACTGAGAAACAGATAAAGATATTCATTTTTTAAATGGGATGTACTCAATTATGCTGAGCACTGTACGCTAAATATGTATGAACTTGTTCTTTGTCTACTAATATAAAATAAATAAAAAAAAGATTCATTAATGTTTAATACAAACTATTGCTTTTGTGCTGGATAAATGTTAGTTGCCCTTCCAATAGACTATAGTTAAATAAACGTAATAACTCAACATGTTTGGCTCTTGAAAAGCTCACATATGTTATAAGAAAGAAACCTTTGATTTTTGCCATATCTGGGAGCTGTTTATGTACTTTGTGATGGAAATATTGAAGAAGCTTTAGAAACGTGAAGCTGTGGAATGTGTAAATTGGTGTTTGATGTGATTTTTATTATACGTTTTGGGTAATGGGGTTTGATTTACTGTAAAACTTAATAAAAACATGTTATACTAAAATCGAAAGAAATGTCATCTCACCTTCCAGCGTCCGTATTTGTCAGCAATGTAACCACAGAGGACCCCACAAACCATGAAACCAAAAAACACCATCTAAAACAAAACACACACACACCAATAAAATAAGTCTCATGAACCGTCTTCTGAATTAAAAACCATTACTGAACCTGAAACGAGTGAGAGGAAGCCTTTAAATGAAAATAAACACCTATATATAATCAATATTGATAGTTAAATCTATAAACCCCAATAAATAAATCATTGCAACCCACAATAGAAGTTAAAACATGTGTTCTCCATTTGTGCAGTTTGTTAGCTTTAAATGAAATATAATGCATGTGCATCATGTTTCTGTACAAAGTGACATCGCCATGTCCTGGCATGAATAATTTCAGTGGTTATCATGGACCTGTGTTATCTTTTTGACAATGTTTTCACACTGAAATGCAGCCTCAGAACTGATGAGAAAAGAGCCGATGCTTCAATTTATATCTTATATAGTATTTTTCTATCTTGGTTGGAGGTAAAACCTAACAAAAAACAATTAGGAACTGTTAAAATAGCACAGCAGAAAGCACTTAAACTGACTACTTCTGCATTTGATAGCACCTCACAGCAAACTTCACTTAGATTGCACATTAATCTAGGACAGAAGGAAGTAGATTAGTAGGTTTATCCATAAATAAACGGCATCACTTCTAAAAAGATACAATAGATAAACCAGAATGTTTAGATAAGCACAAAAGCAAAACATGTACATCTTGTATTGCGACATTCCTGTCAAAACTTCACGAAATACAGGGCTCTGATTGGACGAGCTCCTCACCGTGGAGACAAGGGCCACTTGCCAATCCTCCAGATGCCATTCGCAGCGGATCTCAGGAGAAACCACAGCCAACAACATGATCTCCATCGCTTCCACTATCTACACACACCAGCAATGAAAAATGTAAACAGCAAGTACACTATTTGCAGGTTAATGAATTACAGAAACGCATGCAGTTGTCTTACATTGGCACTGCCCATGATGACAAAAAGCAGAATATGGAAACGTCCGAAACCAATGCTCTCCACAGCCTCCTCCACGGTGTAGCATTTCGGCTCTGTATGGGTTAAAGATTGAAAAGAATAAACGACTGGCTGCAGGTAGTTAATAGGCTGGTTTGTGCATGTTGTTTTCTCACCTTTGGCCTGAGCAGGTTCAACAGGATTGTTATTGTTGCTTGTGGTGGTGATCTCTTCCTCCATCTCCACTTCTTCGAGCTGGATGGCATCCACTAGCTGGGTCTTCATGGAAGACGATCGCTTTAATGCCATCTTTATTTTAATAAGGCTATTTATTTCCTCTGCAGAAACATACTAGATAAAAATGGATTTTTTAGATGCTAATTTGTGAATGTACAACAGCACTTCAAGGCTAAACCTGCTTTTAGTGATGCCTGCACATTTTTTTTTTAGGTATAGTTTACTGTATAAGGGACATTTCTTTATTTTAAATCGGTGTACATTTATCAGTAGAGCTACACAATATATTGTTTCAGCATCGATATCGCAATGTGATCATTTGCAGAATATGCAATGTTGAATTTGTATTATAATGCATCATTTGCATGTGTTTTTTTAATGCCTGTAATCGTATAATGACTTTAAAAGCAATCGGGTATAATAAATGTACAATCTGTGACCTTACCTACGATTCATTTTATTGAATTGTTTTTATTTTTATCATTCATTTACTGTACTCGGGACATGATAAAACACTTTATTTCAACTCTATCTTTTCTTGATTATATTTATATTGTTATGCATGAGAATAAAACACATGCATATACAGCAATGAACTGCAAATAGCACAGGACCACAAAAATGGTATAGATTGGTCATTTGTTTTTATGGAGATGCACTCTCACTGCAGAATCATCCCAATCGATCTAACTTCATAAACTCTTTCCAAATATAGCAAGTTATCTAGTGAAACTGTATTCAAATCGCAATATATATTGCAACATAAAAAACATTGCAATCTTAGATTTTTCCAATATTGTGCAGCCCCTAGTCATCAGCATTTGAAGTGGATCAAAAACTGAAAGCTCAAGTCATCAACTATTGAACAACACCCATTCTTGTCTAATATTCTTGTTGTCAACTTCATGCTTTCTATATATATATTTACTTTTCCTTACATATATAAATAAATAAATAAATAAATAAATAGATAAAATTCATAAGTAACATTTATGCCTATGCTAATACTTTATACTAATGCTAATATGCTTTATACTTACATGATAAATTCATGTTATGTCTATTAGACCATATTTGTGGTGATCATGCCCTAATATTTAGACACATACTGTATACACATTTAGGTTATATTTTTGTTTTTAATCACTAAATGTAAACCTATTCCTTTTTTAATATAAAATATTATTATGTTAACACCATATGGTAAAGCCAGTCATGGTTTTGTCCCATAATGAGGCGCCAATCTGGACATATACAGCATGAAAATGTTCTCATATACATTTAAGTTGTTTTATGTGTTTAATATTAAATGTAAAATTATTATTTTTTACTTTAAAATAACTTTGTTTTTACAACCATATGGAAAAAGGCAGTCATTATGATTTTGGCCCATAATAACCACCTATTTGTAAATATACCATAGAAATAAATTCATATATATTAAGATATATTTATGTATTTATTACTAAATGCAAACCTTATTTTACTATAAACATACAGTTCTTTTACCACCATATGGTAAAGGTGGTCATTATGGCTATCTACAATAATAACCACCTATTGTTAACATACAATTATATACTATTATATATATTTTTTTACATAAAGAGCAGTCACACAAAATCTAAACTGAATAATGTAATATTTACAACAATTTATGGGTTTTTAACATTTTTGTTGATTATTAGAAAGCTAAACCATGATTAAACCGTGTTTTGGGCATTGTACCATAGTAAATGTTTGTTTTTTGAATATGTTACACTATATTTCCGGCATATACTTTCTTGGAGCAATTCCTGTTATTATTTGATGTATCGCTGATGTAATTACTAATCAAATTCCATGATATAGGAGTATCTTATAAAATAACATGGTATTTCTCGACTTTGGTTACTAAACAAACATGCTACCTTAGTATAGTAACAGTTCATTTAATCAAACAGTAACCCCTTCATAATTGCTCTAATGACTGCTACAATGGTCTTTCTAGACAAAATTACATCTCAAGACTTTTGATTTCTTTACATATGGTGACACGTATGACAAATGTGAGCATAATGAAATAAAATACTTACAATAAATGATGAAATGAGGTCATCAAACAGGACTTTTCGTCATTTCGAAGCTTCTCCCATCACATCTCACCCCGACTGACACTTCTTTACTGTATTTTAGCCAAAGGTAGGGTGTTCAAGTATTTCCAGTATGCACCGACACCTTTCAGCGATTTATGCAAATTAGCCTCACAAAACTTTGATAACAATGCGTCGAGCAGATTTCAGAGCCATAAACTCAAACAGTTCGACAAGACAATTATGTAGAAATAATCAAACTTGTCGTGAAAAGATGCATCGTGAAGCTCACCTTCAGTAACAACACCCGCATACACCTGCCGACAGGTAAACAGCGTCACACATCAGCGTGTGAAGCTTTTAAAGGGCCATGGCTCTTTTTTAACTAACACAACACACCCAAGATCGTGTTACTTTGGTTTGTGTTTCAGAAGGACAGAGGACTGGATCATTTAGCTGTTTGTCGAGAGTGGACGCAGAAAACTGGACAAACAGGTTTTAGGTCTCATTTCAACCTGCTGACCTACATCTCGCACACGAAGCCGAGGGCACTTGTGTGTTTACAGTACACATATGCGATTGCCTTCAAAAAGGAAACAGTTTTGATAATGAAAGCCTGTTAAGCGAGATAAGTGAGTAATCTTTCAGGTTTTGTCGACAACATTTTCGATCTGCGGTCTGTGTTCAATTTATAGACGAGTCGACTCTTTTAAACGAATCATCTCTGTGTGCAAAATGACAGCCAAGACAGTCATCAGCTACATTTTAACCACTACTGTAAGCATATATGTTGTCTATATATTCATTTTTATATTCATATATATATATATATATATATATATATATATATATATATATATATATATATATATATATATATAAGCATGGGGTCATTTAAAAAGATAGATCACCCCAT